AGCCTTTCAACCCCGCGGACACCAATGCACTGGTGGCGGCTGTGGCTTTTGGAAAAGGGCTGTCAAACCGGAGGCCCCCAGGCTCAGGAGGGCCTGTCCAAGCAAGCCAGCCGGGGGCCAGTGCCATCCTAGCAGGGGCTTCCGGCATCCAGCAGGTCCAGATGTCGGGCGCTTCCAGCCAGCAGCAGCCAATGCTTGGAGGAGTGCAGATGCCACAGGCAGGCCAGCCAGGTAAATTAGCATGGCAGAAGAATGCCTCAGAGTGCTTGGTGCATGGGGAGAAAGAAAGGAGCATCAAAGCCAGCAGTCCTACCCCAAGCATCGTAGTCAGCCTGCTGGGAGGAGCCGGCCCGGAGAGCAGAGGGGTCTGTAGTCAAGCTGGGGGCTAGGGCTTTGAGCGAGACCTCTGGGGGCAAGATCCATGCAGGGAGAGCAGAGAATGCGTGGCAGGGAATGGAGGGGAGCTAGCTTCCTGGGAGACCTCGAGGAACTAAAATCCAGGTAGTACAAAATTGCTCATAGATTCGTGGCAGTTAAGGCTAAAAAGGGCCGTTGTGACCTGCTAATCTGACCTGTAGAGTACCGGCCAAGGACTTCCCCAGTGCCCCTTGCCCTCCGGCTGAACCACACAGCAGGCCACGGAGAACCTGCTTATGTCCCTGGGGGATCTGTGCCGGGGTTCTGAGTGTGACAGCTTCCCATTGGTGCTGTTTTCTGAACAGAAGACTGCGTTTTCTGGCTCTGCCGCGCACAGCTCCGAGTGTAGCTGAGCGCTTGCGCACAGAGTGACGACAAGGGCCGGCGTGGGGGGGCACCAGGGCTGCAGTGTCTTGGGGACCTAGGTTAACCCCCAGTCTGATCCCAGCCGCTCCAAACTAATAACTCAGAGCAGGAGTCGTCAAAGGGTTGTTTCTGTCCACACAGTAACTAGTGAAATGAACCCATGTTCCCCTTGTACATGAGACACCCGAATACGAAGCTTCATCTACATACAGCTACGCAGCTCTTCAGAGCTCAGCCCAAGCCAGGCTAATCTCCCTGGATCTTTCATTGGGTAGCCCCCTGCTGGCCCATGCTCATCCCCTCCACGTGGAATGAGCGAGGATCCCGTTTTATGAAAGGCATTTCCCAGCATCCTGCAGCCAGGAGTGTCAAAATGCACAGCCCCCAGTGGGGACTGCACACGCCATCTTCAGGCAACTGTCTTGTGCCATGTTCCCCCCCAGCAGAGTGTGAGCGCCCCAGTGGTAAGGCCCTGCCCGACCCCCACACACCCTGCACTTTCCTAGCGCCCGCCTCAGAGACGTTAAGCTGTCTGTGATCGATTTGTTTGGACTGTGGTCTGTAAGAGTTTTGAGGACTGCCCAGAGGGGGACAGGTTCTGTCTCTGCCCAGGAGCTTTCATGCTGCACCACTATGGTTCAGATGCCTGACACCAGAGGCCAGCCCACAAGCATAAGGTCTCCCCCTGGCTCTAACCAGGCTACTGACTTTTCCCAGTCCTTACTCCTCGAATCCCTCCTCTCCCAGTCCTTAATCCCCACATGTGGCCCCCTACGGTTTGCACACCAGAGGCCTGCTGGGGATAAGAAATCAACCAACACTGGATTTCTGAGATGGGCTAGTGAGGGACTCCAGCACAAACTAGTTACATAGAAACTAAATAGAAAAACGCAAGCTCCAAGTTTACACTTCGATAAAATCCCTTTGCTTCTACAAGGGGCTTGTAGACAGTTTTCCAGTGTGTCCCCTGCCCTGGGGGGAATCTGCCAGTTGCCGACTGCCCTCATTTTCACCCAGAGGTGTCCTTTGGTTTCTGGGCGAAAGCCTGCCTCAAAAGGGAATTCTCGTTGAGGTGTCTCGGTGTCTGCTCACTAATGCGCCTCCTCCGCCATGATCTGGTGCCTGGCTGGACTGCAGCTGATGACATGGAGCTGGTTGCCTGAGGAGGTGCTCTTCCCTGCTGTGAGCTGGAGCCAAAGTTGTAGTACAGGTTATTAGCGCAATTCTCCCTGTGTATACACACTCTGTGTGCCTGTTGCATAATGGCCCTCATGTTCAGAACATGCCAAGCTGGGATTTAAGGCCTTACTCACCGTACTTTGCAGACTGGGTAATCTTGCACCATAACTTAATGGGTGTGGTGCTCACTCCTGATCTCCCCTGGGGGGGGGGTGACCGTGAATGTCCTATCTGTTACGTCCTGAGCTGCTGGAGTCATCACTAAGGTACTCCACAAGGTGACATTGCGCAGCAGATGTTGAAAGTGGAAGGGAGTTACACAGGTGCTGACTCTTGCTGTTTAGCATTAGAATCTGGGCCCATAGATTTGTGATGTGGACATGTGCTCCAGAAACTCAGCTTTATTCCAAACGTGCATATGTTCAGGGCTCGACAAATAATGCAATCGACTTGCCTGGGCGAGTAGATTGCAACCCAGAAGAGCCGGGTTCAGGCGATCTGCACATGCGCAGATTGCTGGACAGCGCGGCTGGCGAGCAGGGCTCGCTGCGGTTCGGCAAGCCCTGCATATGTTTAATGTCATAAACGGTCCCCCCCTCCCCCCCAAGAAAAAATATTTCAAGTTTCTGAAGGGGTGTTAAAAAGAGGAGGGAGAAAAATTGTTCTCCTTGGCCTCTGAGGACAGGAGAAGAAGCAACAGGCTTAAACTGCAGCAAAGGAGGTTTAGGTTGGAAATTAGAAAAAATTTCTTGCCCATCAGGGTGGTTGAACACTGGAATAAATTGCCCAGGGAGATTATGGAATCTCTATCTCTGGAGATATTTAAGAGCAGGTTGGACAGACACCTGTCAGGGGGTAGTGCTTGGTCCTGCTGTGAGGGCAGGGGACTGGACTTGATGACTTCTCGAGGTCCCTTCCAGTTCTAGGATTCTGTGATTTCTAGCCCTCATGGTTGTGAAGAAACACCTTTGAAATGTAACCTGGCATGACCAATGCAGTAGTGTCTGCCTGAGTCAGCAGCAGCCTGAAACTGGCTCAGAATGGGAGAACAGCTACATTGATCTGAGTGGGGGTGATAGCTACAAGCTCTGCCAATAACAGTGTCAGTGTCGGCATCGTTAGCGATTTCACTGCTGGTCCTGTTAGCAGAAACATCTAGCTAATGTCTCTCTCAAACGCTCCCGCTCCGAGGGTGTGGGAAGCCCCACTACCCACACCTTCTGCAATGAAATGCCAATGCAGTGTCAGTACAGAACTCGGCAGCACACAAACAGCTGAATGAAATTGCAAGGAAAACTGAGCTGGTTGAGCTACTTTTATTTAATTCACTAAAAAACCTCCATTTTCTAAATTGTCCTTGGAGCTGCCTCAGAGTCCGGGGAAGGCAGGTATGACATTTGGGGAAGAAGGTGTCAGTGAAATGAGTGTGGCTATCTCAGTGCCTACCAGTGAATTCCCAGCTGTGCAATGATGGTACTGATGCCAAACACCTGTGAGCAACAGCCTTAACTCTAAATTAACCTTGAGGAAAACAGAGTTGCTGTGTTAGTCATTAATGCTCTGAGATCGCTGTGGAGTGGAAAGTGCTAGAGCAGAGCAGTGTATGACCAGTGGTAGCAAACCTGCCTGCCTGCAAACATGAGAGGAAGGATGTAATCAGCAAGGAGAGGGGAAGGATTTATTTTGGGTGGGACAAGGGGTAAAATGACAAGCAAAAGGAAATTGACAAGGAATGCCAGGGCCACAAAAGATGTTCTCTTGTGGAAGTGACTTGTAGAAGAGAGGCAGGAGTCTCAAAACGTGGGACACTTGCTAAATTAGGCCAATCTCAGGAAGAATGCAGTAAGCAATCTCCTAACTGGATGATTGGGCAATAAAATGAAATTCAGTGACAGATAAATGCAAAGAGCCCATTAGAAAACCTAGACATACAAAATGATGGGGTCTAGATTAACTGTTACCACTTAAGAACTAATTCTTGGAGTCATAAGAGAGAGTTCTCTGAACACATCTGCACAATTTATAGCAGCGGTCAGAAGAGCTACCAATGTTTAGACACATTAGGAGAGCTATAGATAATAAAACAGTGTCACACTATAAATGCATGCTATGCCCACACCTTAACTACTGTATTCAGTTCTGGCTGCCCTATCTCAGCAAAGAGAGATTACAAAGGAAAAGATACAGACAAGGGCGACCAAATGATGAAGGGCATGGAACAGCTTTTGTACAAGAAGGACGATAGAGTAGGAGAAATTAATGAAATTAATAGGCTGCAGGTTACAACAGAAGGAAATACTTCATACAACGCACAGTCCACCCGTGAACTCATTGCCATGGGAGTTTTGAAGGCCAAAACTATAATTGGGCTGGATTAAATCGTTCATGGAGGATAGGGCCATCAGTGCTATTAGACACAATGGCCAGGGACACAGCCTCATGCTCTGGGTGTCCCTAAATCTCCGACTGCCCGGAACTGGATGACGGGACGAGACGGGATGATTCCCTTGGAAGCGTCTGGCACTAGCCTGTCAGAAGACAGGGCACTGGGCTAGGCGGACCATTGGTCTGACCCCGTCTGGCCGTTCTTATAACCACCCTGCCCTAGAGCTGGGGGTTGGGAGTGGAGGACTCCCAGGAGGGCTGGTTCCACACTGCTGTTTGGTGGGACTGTCCTTCGTGGACCCTTTCTTGTATCAGGTGACTGCACAACTCCTCTTTCTTCTCTAGGTAAGATACCCAGTGGCATCAAAACCAACATCAAGTCTGCCTCAATGCACCCCTATCAGAGATGAGCAGGGAGGAGCCTCGTCCTGGCTGACCAAACAGCACAAGCATTGTTCCTGCCAGTTGCCACTCCGGAATTTCCTTCCATGCCTGTAAGATCCCCGCCAGCCTCGTGCATTTCTGGGCGGGTTCTCCCCCCCGGGAGCTCCAGGCTGTCTCCATCCTCTGTGGCTTTATTCAAAGAGAGCTGCTGGGGGCCACGTGCTTAGGGAACCCTGTCTGGCGGCGGGGGCCGAACCCTGTATCCCATCTGGCCTGGTGTGGAGAGACTCATCCCCTTCACTCGTCCAGATGCAGAAGCTGAATGCCCTCCGAGAACCTCTTCTCCTGGTGTCTGTGTGAAGCAGTCCATGGAGGTCCACTGCCTCCTCCCTCCACCCTCCCACTGTCCAATAAAAACCGTGTTCCATGCCAACCGTGACCACGCCTGTCTGTGTCCAGTCCCAAGGAGTATTGCAGCCTGACTCATTTCCCTTTGGGAATGGCTGTAGAACAGCTCTGCCCCAACCACAGCCATTGTGCTTATTAGACGCGCACAGGATCTTTTTCAGGGGAAAACGCAATGCGCCTCTTTGGTTGAAAATACAGCTTGAAAAGTGGCATGCACACACGTCCTGCAGATGTTCTTGTCATTGCCGGTCTTGTGGCTCAGGTCCATCTAGTGGCCAGCTAGACTGAACAGGAGTGAAGAGCTGGGCTCTGCCAGTCATGGTCTAGTGTGCTGAGACTACACAGCTGTACCCAGAGAACCCTGGCAAACGCACCACGTTTTTATGCTTGCACACACCCATTTAAATCTGTGCATTTTGCAATGTCATGCTGCAATCGTTAATCCTTAAATCGTGTTCATCTCACGGGTTTCCAGTTATCCTTTGATGGCCATTGTCATAGTTACCTCCTGTTTGTCTTCTCACCCTTGTGGGTGTCTGTCTCCAAGGTTTGTCAAGTCTGCTCATTTGTTTCTAGCTTCAGCCACAATGGATTCTTCCTGGTTGTCCAAGTTTCTTACTTGACCATCTGGGCTTTCAGCTGCACACACAGCCTCCGCTCACCCCAACCAAGTTCCACCCTGCGAGCCATCCTTGCTGCTTGTTAGCATTACAAATTCAGTTGTGCTTCTTGCCTGCCATGAACTATAGAGTTGCTTCCCTGTACAGCTGGTTGCGTCTCTTCCTAGAGAAAGCTCAGAACTAGAACAGCATCCTCCTCAACCTGTCAGCCCCTTTGGCTCCATCACCCAGGCTCTTCTGTTGGAAATCCTGCCCTCCTTTGGCTTTGGTGACTGTCCCCTCCTGGTTCACTTGAATCGCACATTCAGCGTGTCCTTTGGAGAGGGACCCTCATCTGCACTCCTTGGGCTCTCTCCTGGGTCCCCTCTCCCTCGCCACATCTCTGCAGGATAAGCTCATCCACAAATGCACGTTTGACTCCCAGCTGGAGGCTGAAGACTCAGATCAGTCTCTGCCCCAGGCATGTCTCGTATCCGAGCTAAAATCTCGGCCTGTCTGTCTCCTCAGGGATGTTGAGCCATCAGCTCGAGCTCACACTGGCCAAAACTGCTCCTGACTTTCCCCACATCCTCCTCACTCCCTTCTTGGTCACTATGGGGGGCGCCATCCGTCTGCCTGTCACGTGGGCCCATTCCCTGGGCATCATCTTCAACTCCAGCTTCTGAGTCCTTGCATCCAGACTAGGTTCTGATCTTGCCAAGTCTGTCTGCGTAACATCTCTGCGATAAGGCCTAGTTCTGTCCAGCCAAACAGCTAAAACCTCCTGTCTGAGCTTGCCCTGCCTATGTCCATTCTGAGTGCTGCTGCAAAAACCACTTTCCTGGGCTGTTTGACCATGTGACCCTTCTCTGTGCATCTCTCCGCTTGTTCCCACTTGTCTGTCCCAAAGACGTAAGCTGCTTGTCTTCACTTTCACGGCCTGTCCTGCTTTGCTCATCATCTCTCATTCATTCTTGTGCTATGAACTCCCAGCTCTTCCCAGCCAGTGATGCCAGCCTGTATCTCCTACGTGCTACATTTTCAAACGAGTGTTCATGCTTTCTCCTCTGCTGCCCCCCGGCGTAGGAGGAGCTCCCTGTACACATCTGCAGAGCTACCTCAGTAGCCTCCTTTTGCTCCCTCCCTTACTATGATGCCGGCAGAAAATTGAGAGAGGTTAGGCTGTTGCTGTGCTGAGGACTCTGTCCGACATGCCGCGTGGCATTGTCCCCGGGTTCCTCGTACTCTTCCATCCCATAAGAACAGGTTCTTCTTCGAATGCCGGCCCGTCTGTGCACTCCGCTCTCGGTACATGGAGCTGCCGTGCCCTGAAGGCCCTGTCTGCGGCATAGACTTTGGGTATCACCAAGGCATCCCTACGTGCAGCCATGGCAAGGGCTTTCCTGCCATTGGCCAGGTTCCAAGCACTGAATGACCTTATAGATCAGGTCACAAAAAACCCTGAACAGCAGCCACAATTCCTCTCTCTTGCGTGGGACATATGGCTTCACGTGTTCACACCACATCATCAGACAGACTCCATCTTGGTCGCCTGCAGGCCTGACTTCAGACAGCGTTCTCATCCGAGAAGCAGGCTGTGAACATGAGAGTAACTGTTCCCACTGCAATATTCCTCCCTACGATAGTGGCAGGGCCCCTCCAAAGATGTGTAGTTGCTCCTTTCCTTCTCCCCGCGAGACTGCGTGAACATTGCAGGTGCCTCCCTCTTCGACTGGGCGAGCCCATGTGGACAGGCATGCGGCACAGGGCACTTGCCCATCACCAGAGGCCAGGATGAATGTGGACATTCTGGAATTGTGGACAGTCGGAGAGGCTTGCAAAGCCTTTCTCCTGTCCAGACAGCGTCACTGTGTCCTATTAACATTGAACAACGTGACAGCCATCTTTTATATCGGTGAGCAGGGAGATCCATCCCCCCCATGTGCAGACGCCGTCAGTCCATGGAATTGGGGATCAGCAACCGCTTCAGCCTTTTAGCAGCTTTCCTTTCAGAGAATCGGAATGGGCTGCTGGTCCCTCTCGGGAGACATTTTGCTGTCGACCGTGAGTGGGAGCTACATGATTCCCTGGTAAACGGCACTTTTGCTGTATGGTGGCCCTCACTACGGACCCGTTCACCTCTCAGAACGGCCAGGACGTAGAGCATAGCGCTCCAGAGACACCTAGTGCTTCATGTGTAGGCCAGCATCCTTGCTGCTCCTCTCTTGGGTCTTGCAGAGATTCATTAGGACAAGGCTCGAGTCATCCTCATGGACCTCGTCTGGACCAGACAGCTTGGATTCCCAAGTCTTGTCCGCCTGTCGTCTCAGTCCTCAATCAGAATTCAGCCCTTTTCCAATCTCCTGACCCAGGGAAGGGAGGAATCGCGCATCCCAACCCTCAAACACTCATCTTGGGTATGGCTTTTGCATGGGCATCAACTCAAGAACATTTCAGCCCTCGAGCCATGAAAAGCATCCTCACTTCTAGTCCAAACAATTCCACTGTCTGGTGGCCCTCACTGCGTAGGCACAACAGAACCGTACGCCGCCAGAAATTCCAGGGATTCCCTTTATTCAGCACTATCGTCTTTCCTTCAAAGCAGCTGGTCTTTCCATCCGCTTTTCTGAGGTGACCTAACAGCAGTCAGTTCCTACCTTCATATGGGAACTCAGGTTTTACTGACTGCCAGATTCTAGGGGGGCCAGTTGGAGCCTTTCTGCCGGGAAAGGAGCCCCACCCTCAACGGGACCCAACCCTGGTCCTCTCAGTGCTCACTAAGCTGCCCTTGGAACTGCTGCTCCATGTGCCTGGCCTTGCCTATCTAGGAAGGTTGCCTTCCTGGCAGCCATCACCTCAGCCAGGAGTGGGTTGCAGGGTAAGTACAAAATGACAAACTGAAATGAGTCCAAGCTTGGGCGAGGGAGTGTTTCCGTGGTGTAGAGAGGCTCTGCCCAACATGTAGAAGGAGGGCCTTGAGAATAAGAAGTGATAAGGCCCGAAGAAATACAATGTCTGGTTCAAAGAATAACGACAGAGATAAGGGGCAGTTTCTAAACAGAAGGCCTCTGACTAATAGGGGAAACAAGATGGTTTTAAATAAAGAGAATGAGCCAACATGCCCCTCCCCCAACCCACACCCCAGCGGTACAGCCGGTGTGAACCCATAATGTCAGAGGGTATTAAGCAGGGAGCGATCTCGGAGCACCTCTGTTCCATAGAGACAGTGTTGTAATACGTTTGCATCCCAAGCCCCCACCTGCACCCCCAAAAATGTGTTTGAGGGTCACCTCAACCACTCTGCCCTGTGTCTTCTCATGAAATCACACTTGTCTGAGGAGAGGAGACTCCACTCTCTTGGTGTGAGCCTTTTACCTACCGAGGAGAGAACCCATCCGTAGCTGTATCTTTGACTCTGCTCTCCCCGGTGTCAGCTCCAGCCTCTTCATGGGGTGAAGGCTCATTCCGCAAGAGCACACACAGTGAATGGCTTTGTACCTCCCCTGGGCACCTACAGAGCAGCCCCACGTTGGTGAGGCAGCATGTGCCAGGACAGGACTGCTACAGATAGCATCCTTAGCCCTGCCTCCTCCTTGAGCACAGTCCCCACAACGGGGCACATCTCGAGACACTGCCTCGGGGAAGAGCGAGTTACCAACTGTGTAGTAAGTGGGGGCCCCTTGAGCTGGACGGCCCCTGTCAGGATTCCACTCCTCCTTGCCCTCTGCTTTGCATCAGGTGGAGGCACAAGTAGAGCAAGGGCGATTGTGTGGACCAATGAACACGGACTGCAGGGGTAAGGGCCACGTGCTCACCCTGGTGCACTACAGACAGGGCCCGCACGTGCTCACCCTGGTGCACTACAGACAGGGCTCCCACAGCTCAAAGAACCTCCTGTTCATATAAGATCAGTAACTTTCAGTCTCTCTAAGTAGCCAGCTCCAGTGCTTAAGCACCTTATATGTTAGAAATTCCTTAACATCCAACATTCAAACAAAGCCGATTATTTCTTATCTCAGTGGACATGGAGAACAATTGATCACAGTCCTGTTTACGTGGGTCTTTTGCATAGTTAAAGACTGTTACTAATTCTGCCCCTCAATTGTCCCAAAATTGGTCATGGCACTCCAGCTAAAGGCTTAGCAGTGCCCAGCAGAGTGGAACAATTACCTCCTGGGCTGTGTCTACATTGCACGCTTCTTGAGCAAGAACAGCTGTTCTTGTGCAAAAACTTGCTGGCTGTCTACACTGCACACGCTTTCCTGCATGAGTAAATTTACAGTACAGCATCGGAAAACAGGGCTTCTTCTTGATGAGTTAGTCCTCTCTCCACGAGGAATAAGCCCTCTTGCGCAAAAGCTCTTCCACAAGAGGCCAGTGTAGACAGACAACGTGAATTTCTTGTGCAAGAAGCCCCTTTGGTTAAAA